CCTTTTCATGGCCAATGATACTTAAGAAATAATTTTTATAAATGTTTATTATTGTTATAAATAAAATAGATAGTGAAACTATCAATTTTCTATTTTACAATACCTGATATCACATTAAAAATTATACATAATATATACTCCATATATTTTGATGTATTCACTTTTTGTTTAGTAAATACTGAAATATTATTTATAACTGGATTTATTATTTCTACAAAAACAATAGAATGAAGGATTACAAATTAATCAATTATTCAAACGGTCAACTGTAGCGCAAAAATTTAATTTAATTTTTAATTTATAAATGTATAATACATTTTTAGAGGCCATTTAAAAGTTTGATTTTTAATTGGGAAACAAAAATATTAATTGTTCTGAGTATTAAGATAACGAAATAAAATATAACTCATTTACACTCACGATGTACTAGTGGGAAAGTGTACCAGAATCCTAATATACCAATAACAATTTGAATCTTCCTACTCCGTTGCCCGCTTCCCAATCGTATTCTTATAAATTATAATCCACTTCAATTACATAAACGAAACTTAACATATAGTGATTTCAATACTTTTTTAAATAATTTTGAGTTAATTATCTAAATATTGTTTAATTAACTAAATTAATATTTTATCTAACAATATGTTATATCTTTTAAAGTAATCTCAATGATCGTCCACGACATAATTCCCGAAGTTATGACTTGTAGTCATATGTGTGTTTAATTTACTACTATTATTATCTTTCTTATACCACAGTGTCAGTATACTACTCGTAGTTATTTTATTGTTATGTTAATATAATATTGCTTATGAATTCTTATGTGTTTGGCCAAAAAGGGGATAAGTCAAAGTTGCAAGGTTCTAGGTTAAGTTTCTTTGATAAGAGAATTTTGCAATTCTCCCAAACATTTCAGCCCATATTACATTATTATTTATGTTAGTGCTTCAACTACGCTTTATCAGCTTTTTACTACTGGTTCAATTATATACAATTTAGACTTAAGACATGCTTATTTACTTTCTCAATAGAATCACAGATTTATACATAATGGTTTTTAATAATGATTAATAATATATGTAAAAAATCCCAGCACAGAAAGCACAGTGTGATAATATAACAATTATCTTTACCCCACTCCTAACTTCTTTTTAGATCTTAAGTTTTAAAATTAACCCTAAGCAAGCAAAGTAGAGACAAATTTTGAACTCCATTCTGGGTGGATGTTTGGCGATAATTTGGATGTTTTTCGACTACATTTTTCAAAAAGTTAATGTTCCATATTTTTAAGTTATAACTTATATAGACTCTCATATATAGGGGTTTACTCTCCAAATTAAAATGGAAAAAATTAATTTTGCCGAATGAAGTAAATTGCGTGTATAGTTTAAGATAGGAAAATGTCTACCATCTGATTATCGTGTTTTTAGTATAGTTTTTGGGTTTTTCCTTAATTAAAATTTAAAAAAATGTTTACCCATCATTTTTTGATAAAATGTCAGGGATTTTATACAACTAGATTCTAATAGCGTTGATTGACAAGTAGTAATTAGCATTATATCTAATTTTAGCTGTAATGCGGGGCTAAGAGGTATTGGTTTTACAACTTAAAAGTAATTTTATTTTTAGCTTTTGCTATTGTTGAACTAATTATTATTACAAAAATACTTACAACGAATTGTTAATTAAATATCATTCGTGAACAACAGTAATTTATTAACAGTACAATATAATGTACACTGGTCATATTATTTCTAGTTTTCTCGGTATTACTACAGTCTACAGTTAATATTGGGCCAATTATTGCCGATTGCGTCGGTAAGTATTGCTTACTAAGAAAATATTTCATTTAATATTAAATTATTCATGATGATGGTAATTTTGTTGATTAACGAGTGGTTTTCCTACTGATACCTACTGTAGTTATTTTATTTCAGTTGGCTGTTTTATTATTATTAATTGTCTTGAGGAAAAATATGTTTAATTGCTAATTTTAACCTATGTTAAACCACTATATTATATCTATCATACTTATAACCACCTCTGATAATTTAAATAAATTATTTAATAAAATATATAAAATAAATAAAGGGAATGCTAATTTAGTGTTGTATTTAAGAATAAAAACCACGTAACTTATGCAGGCGTTTACCAAATCTTAAACATGCACACAAGATAAGTAGATTAAAAATGTACTTTACCTACTTAAGAGGACGCTACCCATCCGTAATTTATCCACGAAAAATGGTTTTGCGGGGGACAAATATGTGAGAGCGGTATTTAGAATAGCCGTATACAATTTTTACAATAGATAGAGAAGAATTTTATCTACGGGGTAGCGTTTTTAGTTTTTTGATAATTTAAGCACAATCAAAATTATTCATTCGTAATATTCATTTTTTTTTCCTTTTTTAATTTGTTTATAAAAAAATATTAAGTATAGATATAAGAAAAATTAAAACGCTACCCCATGGATAAAGTTCTTCTATACACATTGTGAAAATTTGGTAAATTTACTGTTAATACTGGCCTTACATACTTCATACTTGTCCCGCGCAAAGCAGTTTTGATGGGAAATGTTTTTAATTTATCCAATAGAAATGACTGTGATAGTCTGACAAAAAAAAAGGCAATCAACCAAGTATCCTCATTACTGTATTAATAAGTATGCATTATAGTTCAAACTCAATTTATGATTTTACGAAAAATTGCCTATACTTTACTCCTTAGAAATGGCCTGGGTAGCGTCCTCTTAATACAGGAAAATAAACCATCAAAATTTAGAAGATAGAGTTCAAGCAGACTTCTACGATTTTCCCGTATTATTCAGTGTAATATCTATAAATTATACATCATTATTAACGGGTAGGTATTAAAAAATACCGACGTCACTAGTTAAGAGACTTACTATTATTATGACACTATCACGCTCTACGAACTTGGTATGTAATAGGATCAAATGCCAAATAATATATGTATCGTTGGCTTTTAAGTTACAAGTGAAATACGTTAAGTCATGATTTTGTAGTTTTGAGTTTTTTGGTTTTTCTGGTTTAAAATGTTGTGCTGGGCTGATGAAATCTGTTGTCATATCTTTGTTCAAAATAGGTTTTTTTTATTATGGGAAATACATTAAGAACATCACCTGTTGTTTTCCTAAGAGGCGAAACACACAGTCTCTAAGGTACTTAGTTGCTTTATTGTGTACGAACTTGGGTTATCGACTGTATTTCACTTGTAAGTTGTAAGCCAACGATAGTATCTTATCAATTATTATCACCCATACAGATAACAGATTAGAGGGTAGGCGTGATAAAATGTTTTGCTAGTTTTGGTGTTATTGTCGTTTACTTACATATTATCAAAATATTGCCTCTTGACTATATTCAGTGACTGTTTGATGACATTAGTCATTACTACAGGATAAAGCTGCTTAATACCATCACAGAATTAATTTAATCAGAAACAACAGTTTCAATGTACAAAACAAAAACGTGGCAGCCATGTTTAAACCGGCTTCTATCTCATCAAACGTTATCACTCCGATTGGCATTTGGCGTAATTTAATTAACAAAATAAATAATATGCTTAATTGTAACAAATTGTATATTATTTAGTTAAATATAATAATAGGCAAGATGAATTCGACGAAATACGTACAATACTGTGCAATTAGGTGTAAGAACTCCAGCTCCAAAAATCAGTCCAGTGATGCTAGAAGGTAAGGCACTTTAATTATAATTGGGTATTTAAATATTACTAATCTAATTTAATGTTTTTGCATACATTTTTATAGACAGAATAAATAGTTGAAAAATTGTAATTTGACAGAACTTGCTGGCCTTTCAAATTTTTATATTAACTACATAAATGTAATCTCAAGATTTGTTTGTAGCGTTCACTATGAACTCAACGTATTTTAAGAAATCAAAAAAACAGGTTGAAGCCAAACGCTGGTCCAACATTGCATATATTCCATTAGGTATATCAAGTTTATAACAGTTTTACAATATTAACATATTTCCTGGATGGTTTAAATATTGTAATACCTACAACAGCTGTAAAATGAGTGATAGTGAGTAATTACTAATTAGTATAGTTTACCAATATTATAAATAAATATAATGGGTCAAAACGCTAATTACGAACAAACGTTTGAAGCGATCTCCTATGGATTTTTTTTAAAATTACACTGCTTGTCTGTTACAATGAAAAAAATGTTTTCAAATTATTTTGGCCATGGTCGTAAAAAGTATTTTTAGTTTTTTTTTTTTACACTTCTTTTTTTATTATTTTTTTAATAGTACCTTTGGCCATTAAAAAAATCAGTTATTATGTAAAATTTTCTCAGCTTTCTGGTAAAAATCAAAACATTTTCAAATTTAGGAATATTTGAAAAAACAAACTTTTTGGATTATAAACTCAATTTTAATAACTTTCTATTACTCGTAAAAACAAGCAAATTAGTTTTTCAGAAAGCTGTAATAATTTTACATAAGAAACTGGTTTTCAATTTTTTTTTTTTTTTTTTGATGGCCAATATACTATAAAAAAATGATAAAAAATAAGTGTTCAAGAAAAACACAAAAACATTTTTTTTGTGACCGTGGCCAAAAAAATTTGTGAACATTCTTTTTACCGTAACAGACATGCAGTGCAATTTTCCAAAAAATTCTGCCGAGGTTGGTTCAAATTTTTGTTTGTATTTAGCATTTTCAATCTATTATAACATTATTATTATTAAACGTTTAATTTTATTATATTTAGATAATAAAATAGCCATCAACATAGTATGTTTGTTATGACTTTTTTGATTTGCTTATAATAATATAGTATATTTTACAGTCTAATATTAGGATAATTATTCTTTATTATATTCTTTATCTTTTTAATTAGATAGCTTGTTTATTGGCTAGTTAAAAATTTTAAAATAATGTATTATTTTTAATGTTTAATAGGTAGGTAGGTCAAAAGATAAGACGGGTAGCAATTGATAAACACAGATTTTTATTTGCTAATGAATACAATAATTTTATGTATAAAATAACTAACAACAACTGTTGTTTATAAATTTGATTAGCGAACTGATGATGTATCCTAGCTAATTAAACTGCAAACGTGTTAAGATGACTGCCGCAGACACTAACATTCGTAGGCCAGCTGCTCATGGCTCACAAAAAACACTACCACTACCCTACTATAACGAAGTTGTGGAATGGAACTTGCGCTATCTTCTTAACTTGGTCGCAGTATATATTACAACGGTTATTGAATTTATTAACTGTTGTTATTTGTCTGTTAATCCTTGAACATCTAAGATTGATGTAAATTTAGTAACTTATATACATTTTTAATACTTTAATTTAAGATCTAAAAAATATGGCACTTGCTACAAACAATTTAGAAGTGCTAAGTTTAGCGAATCATGACTTTTCATTGTCTTTATATTCAGTGAGTATTGTATACCATTTATTATATAAATGTAATATGTATCTTTTTTTAAAAAAATTTTATACTTGGTGACTTAAGTTTATTTACCTATTATTTTTATTTGTAGAAATTTAACCAACAAGATGGGAATATATTTTATTCGCCACTAAGCATACATTTGGTAATGTTTATGGCTAGCATTGGGGCAGCTGCAAAAACACTTGATGAAATAGTTAACACGTTGCATTTGACTAAAAACAATACTGCATTGGATGCATATAAGGAACTATTGGACAACTTAAATGTAATATAATTATATACAATTACCATACATTTTTAATTAATAATTCATTATTTAAAGGCACGGAGAGTAGAACTGTTTAATTAATATTCAGTATTGTTATTTATTACATTATTAAGTTAGTCGTAAATTATATTATTAATTAATTTAAGAATTGTAATTTTTTAACTTTAAGCTGTTGTTATACAATCTAGAATGATGATGTTCTAAAAATTGCTACTGGAATGTTTGTCGATAATTCATTTAAAATAAAGCAAAGCTATTTAGAAAAAACTGGAAAGTATTTGCAATCTTCTTTAGACAAATTGGATTTTAAAGGAAATCCTGAAGTTCAGCGTGTATACATTAATAATTGGGTCCAGAACAAAACAAATGGAAAAATTAAGGATTTATTTCCTGAAGGTAGTTTATAACTTTGTTTTAATATATTACTTTGAGGGATTTCTACAGCGGGTATTAAAGTTTGAGTTTAAAATTTAATTTTTGAACATTATTATACAAATTTAAAGCTCACCATTTTTGTATTCAGTTTTTTTTGTTCTTCTTAAAAATTTAATTATTAATCAAAGTTAATCCTCGCTGTAGGAAACGTCTCTTTAAAAAAATTGATAAAAATCAGATTATACTACAAAGCTCCATCATTTTTCTTGTAAAGTAATTTTTCACTACCAAAACAAAGTGAACCTATAAGTTATTAAATAATACCCTTAAGCTAATACAAATTAACTAAAAAACAAATTGGCATGGTCGAGAAATGTATTAAAACTGCCTTTTACCAAATAATATTGAAATTTAGCCACGAATGGATTTCTTAAAGTAGGTTTTCTGATGACACGTCACTTATATTTATTACAAGTTATTTTTTTTTTAACAGTTCTATTTGATTTCTAATAAATTATTTTTAATTTTTAGGCTCCATTCAGTCAGATACCCCTTTGGTATTGGCAAACGCTGTGCATTTTAAAAGTAGCTGGAAACATGAATTCCACAACACACAAGATGGGGCTTTTTTTTTAACGCCGGAAAACCAAACTATTGTAAAGATGATGAGCCTCAGAAAAGACTTACTTTATTATCATGATGGTGAATTGAAATATACTGCATTAGAATTACCATATAAAGTAAATACTTCTTCATTTGAACAGATTTTAAAAAATATTTTAGTTTTATAATGTTCAATTTTCCTTTAGAATTCTTTTTTTAGCATGATTATTTTGCTGCCTGATGCTAAAGATGGTTTAAAAGACTTGGAAAATAACTTGCATAAAATCAAATTAAATAAGCTACCAAACAAAATGACTACTTACAAAGTTAATGTTAAGTTGCCACAATTTAAACTCGAACAAACAATTGACCTCCACTCCGTATTAATTGAAGTAAGATATTTGTTGTGTAATACTGGCTTTACAATTAATTGTTATATATTATCAGTTGTTTATGTATGTATTTTATTATAAAATGTTTTGCAGTTGGGATGTGCATCAATGTTCTCGCCAAGTGCAAATTTTTCAGAAATTTGTGAATCAAATACCGACTCCTTGTATGTGACTAAAGTTCTCCATAAGGCTTACATCAATGTAGATGAAAAAGGAACTGAAGCAGCAGCTGCTACAGGTAATAAACGAGTTATGGAGCAAAAATATTAAAAATGAAGTTGAAAAATCAGCAAAATTTGTCCTGGTATTGGGGGTGAAGAAATTTAGTTTTTCAACTGAACAGTTTTTTTCATTTTCTCGTAAGTTGGTTTTTTTGGCATTTTCTTCATTTATTACTGTGAATAAAATTATTTATTTATTATTTTTATCATCTACAGTTTTGCATCGAGCCATTATTCAATAATAATTAAAAAACTGAATATTTAATGATAATTCCTGAAAACTTGTGGTCTTTTGATGTTTACAGCGGCGTAACTAGAGACTAAAGCGCCCAGAGGCAAGACATTTTTTTGCACCCTCTAATAAATTTTAACGTGTATAGTAAACCGTACTATACATAAAAACGTCTAAAATTAGAAAGCGCCCTAAGGCAGCTGCACACCTTGCACCCACGCCCCTGAATCTTTATTATGCTCAATCACCAATATGCCTGACCGCACTGCGCTGACTTTTATTGTTTTTTTCTACTGGTTTTAGTTTTAATTTAATGTGTCGTCATCAGAGCTGCATAAACTGGTAGAGGAACTGTTATATGTACCAAGGCTCTTGAATGTTTATCTTATTTTGATATTCTTATGTCTTTTTTAAAACGGTGTTTATCTTATTATAAGATATTATGGTATTTTTGTGTTAAGGTATTGGATTTTCGATGAAGAGTGCTTATGATTCGAATAGGGAAAATGCTGATTTTATTGCTGATCATCCTTTTATTGTTGCAATTGTTACTAATGGAGGCGATGTCATATTCTTGGGCCGTCTTCAGAAACCTTAGTCATTATATGTGTTGTTTAAATAATTGTGATATAAAATATTTATTATAATTGTTAATATATTTTATTGTCTAAACCTATGTGTTTTTACTACAACCAGATTAATATATTTTACACGTATATACTTATATATTATAGTTATAAGTATTAAAACTATATAATGCTAAATAATATAAACTAACTTTTAATCCTAGTGCTGATGATATTTTGTTTTTTGAAACTGTTTTCCTTGTAATAAATTTGATTTTAAAACACATTTGGTGTCTTGAAAGAGCTAATTTTTTGTAATATAATGGCTGTTATTTTTTTCTGTTGACATTTTATGTCTTTTGGCACACAGCAGGAAAAAACGACAAAAAAAAGTAAAATCCTAACGAAAATATTAGATGATTTATCTGATAAGATAAAAGAGATTAAAGATAAGAGATAAAATGTCTCCCGTGGTGGCGGACTCATACGCAAGCTGCTGTTGTAAAGGGATGGAGATGGATGTACTGTTTAGTTTTTACAAATATATTGAATAATTGATAGAAGAGCCGCCATTAATTTCCTACTTCTTCGACTCGGTGACACAGATTCATGAAACATCCATCTCAGCTATTCGTTTTAAAGTTTCTTTCTATTTTATAAAGAATATTTATATTTTTTTCTATTTACAAAATTTCACTTAATAGTGATTTTTTTTTTGTTAAATAATTATTTTAGTTAAAAGTTTCTAAACAAATCATGAATTAATTTTTGACTTTTTTTTCTTTTTAATGAACAGTTTTTTAATTATAGCGTGTATCTTTAAAAATACACTGCCACATAAAGCTAATTTAACATTGGTATCTTTAAAAATACTCTACCACATAGACCTATTAGAACAAAACAATTATAATGTATCCAGTTATTTATTATTTTTACAAAATTATAAGTATTTTACTATTAGGGAAATGTATCTTTTTGGATACAAACGATCATTCTGGCGAACGAATCATAGTATATTTTAGGATACATGAGATTTTATAATTAAATATATTTATTAGATAACTAAATAAGTTATTGACTTTAATTTAAAATAAAATATTTAGACATACATGATCTGATTCTAAGAGCTGAGTTAAATATATCTAGGTTTTAAACTGTAAATAAAATGTGTTGAAATTTTAAAATCGATCAAAAAAACAATTATGATAGCTGTTAATATGGTTTTTGAAACGATAAAACTAATATAATACCACGCGAAAATCTGTAAAATGTTATCAGTAAGGAAGAACCATAATGATCTCTCCAAAGAACATAAAAAATAAACAGTCCATACTCTTTGATTTTTCACTGGAATATTTATTTCAATTTTGTGTATCTTTAAAGATACATCGCCAAGTTAAGACTTTAAAAGTCGGTTAAATTATTGTATTTTCTCTTTTTATTTTAATAAGAACATCAATTGTAATAATAACTATAATTGTCGAGCTCTAATACCTTTTGGTAAAAACTAATAAAAACAATTAAAAAAACTAAAAGTAAATATCCTTAACTAGTTAATCGGCCAGTCAAAAATTTCAGCAAATTTCAGCTTTTTAAGCTTCACTTAAAAAGTATATTATGTTACCATATATTTAGTATATTTACGTTACCATTTAATGAGTTTAGAATCATAATAATATAATGTTTTAACATGTAAAGGAATGGAGTTATATTTAAAAAAATAAATTAAAATTGGGTGAACTATTAACTGTAAAAGTATAAAAAAGAATAGTTTAAAAAAGTCCGATATCTTCTAAAATATTAACTGATTTATACTTTGCGAATGCCGAATCACCCTGTACATATATTAGACTGGTTCGAAACAATTTTCTTTTTTCACCTCCACAATTAAAAATGGATACAATCAAACAAAAAAAAATCCGATTTGTTCTGACCACTCGCAAAAGCATTATTCATTTCCCATTTAAATAATCCACAAAATATACTAGGCTTTTTTTAATTACTTATAACTTAATCAATTTTTAAAACAAACAATAAAAAGCTCTTCAAGATTGATTATAACTATAATTCAGCTTTGACAAGTAGTTTAGTCGAAAAAACCTCGGAATATTGAAACAAAGACAAAAAAATTTGTTTTTTGTTTAATTTTACTGCTCAGTTTTTATTATTATTGGATTGATTTATGAATCCGTCTTAGATTTTTAAAATTAAACATTTAGTTAACATTTTTTTTTAATATAGTAAGTTTAAACTAGTCGTATACAGCTTTAAGTTCAATTTTAACTAAATAACATACTACAATAGCTTTTATATAATTATTTAAAACCTTTATTCATATAATAAAAGTACGGTGTTGGTTTGTATTTTATTAAACGAAGTTATTAACCGACATTGTAACCTATTCCGTTTGCAACTAGACCTTTATTATCTTTTATCGTCTATACAATAATTATAGTCGAGAAAACGTGGACTGTTAATGGGAATGACGATAGAACGCTGTTTTGCATAATTTTATTTACACTGAATATGGATTGGCCTCAGTAATCTTTGATCTTGAACATGTACATTAACGTTACACAACGCGCTCCACAGTTTATTTTATCAATACTATTAAAATTAGTCGGTTTATTCTTCCTTATCGGTTTTCCTCGGTGTAAACACTAATTTATATATTTCCGCCTATAGTCACTGTTTCCGACCATTGACCGCATCAGTCTCGTTCTATGCATTAGTTGGACGTAGCATTTTATTTCTGCAGGCTGGGCACGCAATGGATTCCACCATAACCAACGTGTCTAGTTACACGGCTTCCACCACAAATTTTTCATTCGCTTTTTACAATGTCAGTACAGTATATGATGTATTCAACTTAATTAACATTTGTGACTGTTCATAAAAAAAAAAATTACCGGCATTATTATAGGAACTTAGCAATACCGAAGGCAATTTGTTCGCTTCTACATATAGCATTCATTTGCTATTACTGCTGTTGACCATTGGGTCGAAATCGAAAACCTACGATGAACTCACCAACACGTTGCGTTTACCCAAAAACAAATCACCAAACTTCGAAAAGTTCAAGTCGATCATCGAAGACATCGAGGTAAGATCTATTTCGACTGTTTCTAAACACGAAAAAAATGTTCTGTAATGGTATGTCATAAGAAATTGAGGAGCGTAAATGACAAAAGGGTATGTGCACTTACTTAACTATGCAAAATGCATTTTCTTATCACCTCGTTTATAATAAAAAAACATTTTTGAAAAAGTTAAAAATTTTAATTACCTATAATAACTACTCTATAATTATTATTTCTTATGGTTTTTTTTTTTTACAGAATCCGAGTTATTTAACTGTAGCCAATGGAGTATTCGCTAACAAAGCGTTCGACTTAAACGCCGATTACGAAAATCAAGCACGCAATTACTTGAAAGCCGAAGTAAGGAAGCTTGATTTCGCAAATACGGGGGAAAAGGAAATCAACGACTGGACAAAGGCGAAGACAAATGGCAAAATCACAGAACTCTTTAAACCGGGTTAGTAGAATAAATTGTTTAATTCCAGTTAATATCAAAGTATGGTATGATATAGTATGCAATAATTACAGCAACAATTTTTTTATTTCCAGTCTTTTAAGCCTATTATAATGGTTATTTGATTTGTATTTTTGAGCAATGTACAACTAATTATGCTTTGATATCTGTTCTCTTTCACCTGCGGGCGTAAACAATAATTTAAAAAAAATAAATGTTTGTAATAATAGGTGTGATTAATGCTGACAGTAGTTTAGTGTTGGCGTCGGCTGTCCATTTTAAAAGCCGTTGGGACAGTTTGTTTATGGAGGTAAAGAAGGAGTCATTTTGTTTGTCTGCCACAAACCACATCGACGTGCAGATGATGCATCAAACTGATTACTTTGATTACTACAAAAACGATAACGATAAATTCGCCGCCATCAAATTACCCTATAAAGTACGAATTAAAAGTAAAATACAATTTTTAAACAGTGTACTTGAAAAAAAATTAAATAACAAGCCTAACTCTATATCGGACTAATGAGGAGGAATTAAAAAGTAGTCGCTCCCGGTTGACCGACGGGTGTTCAATAATGAGAGCTTTTTATTAATATATCTTTATTTACATATGTCTTAACTTATATGCTTAATAATAGATGGGGACTGTACAAGTATTCTGTTATTAAAAGGAGTTGCTGTGTAGAATTTTTATTACAATATAATATACACTGTTTGAAATGTAATGTTTTGTTAGTCAGCGAAGAACTGTAATTGAATTTATATTACAACAGGGTTCCGAATTTAGCATGGTAGTTATACTTCCAGACAAAATGGACGGCGTCAGAGACGTTGAGAAGGTAGTTTTGAAAAATTCTAAACACTTCCCCATTCTCTTGGCCAACATGACAACTCACAAAGTAGTATTGGCAATGCCGAAGTTTAAATTCGAATCGGACTTAAATCTCCAAAAACCACTGAAACAGGTAGCTATAAAAACTTTTTTTAATTAGACAGTTTTGGCCTATGCTAAACTAACTGTTTTTACTTAGGTACATTTAGCAATTTGCTAAATGTAATTATCACTATAATACGAACAACAATTTGATTCGTACTACTCGACTTTACGCTTCATTTACGTTATAATGCACCTATATATTTATAGGTATACTATTTTTTAATTGTTTAATTAATACTGGTTGTTACAGAATGTATTTTCAATTATTTTACAAGTTATTCAGAATTAGAATTCCTTTTCACATAATATGAGAATTGATATGAAAAACGGAAAATCTTAAGTTCAAAAGTCATAGTGTTTGCTTAATATACCTATGTATTGAGGGTATTTTGAATTTCCTAATATATGGTTGATATGCTTATACTGTTTACAGTGTAAACTTTACACTATTTACACGCCTTGCGGTTACTCCCATTTGGATATCTTGACTGGTTCGCCAACGTTTCGAAACACTTGCATGTTCCATCTTCAGGGCTCTGGTTAGATGTTGCTCGTACCGCGTTCTCCCGTAGACCGTTGTTTATATTAAGTTTCAGTTATTCGTATTTGATTCAAAACTATTAAAACGGTGATAAAAATATTTCGTTGTACATTGTCTATTATAATAACAAAAGACAAAACTAGTTACATAACTAGGAATCTCTTACATAAGCAGTTAACAGCGTTTACAACACTAACAATTAAAGTTCTTAGGATAAACAATCTAATAATGTCTAAAACGGCTTTATACTCTACATAATTAACTATAAAAGTGAGGTTGAAAGAATTATAATTTATAATGTAATGTATTTAAAAGTTATAGCGAGAGAATGTACGATTGACTAGTGATTGGTGCAAACTGTATGAGTCAATGAACTATTCAACATCATACATAAACCAGTTTATTATTAGCAAGGGGAAATGAGAGTTTTTTTACAAACTATTTTCTAAACGATTACATGCATGAACTTTAGACTTAAATATTCGATATATGTTCGAGTATTTTGTAGAGTACCTATTACCTATATAAATAATTAAATCAGTGATTTAGTTGAATTTAGTGATATTTCAGGATAGTAGGTATAAAATATTTAGAAGACAAAAATACAAAATTGTCTCGTTTAACTTCAATGTGATTAAAGATTAATCGTAAATATTGCTACTTCCAATTTTGTATTTAACAAATAATATAAAATCGAAATGATGATATAATTATTTATAATAATTTAAAAACCCATTAGTCACGTTACACCAATACGTGTAAGATACATGATTTATGATTCTACTTTACACAATTAAAAATATATATACAATAGGGTCACTAAGTAGTCGATTAAAATAATTATTTTAGATTTTTTTAATAACAAAAAACATATTTTTAATCACTACATTTTAATTATGCCGACCTTGGACTCAAGACAAATGAACTCGACTATACAGATTACGTTATGTACATAACGTAATCAAACTAATAATTTGTATTATGATTTATAGTTCTTAATAGAAGTAACACGTATGATCATTTCAAATACAATATTTCACTTTATTATACGGTTAGGTTTACTTTAACTACTTGTCCGTATAATAAATACGGACAAGTAGTTTCGTTAAAAATTATTTAGTGTCTAGTGTATCTACAATGTTCTAAAAAAAATAATAATAATCATAAGAATTATTTAATAAGTCTACATGCATACTATTTCAATAATATATTACTAATTGTAAATTATTATATGTATACAATTTATAATTAGTAATACATTATATTAACCTTTATTATTTTCTTAAATAATATTTTTTTTTAGCTTAATAATATTTAGGTTCTTATACTTATTTATTTATAGATATGTCCTTTAACATTAAATCTATGCTTTGTTCTAAAAATGATCTTAGTTATATCACAGATAACGTCTATCTTGCTTGCAAAGTAAAAAAGCCAATATTTTAATACATTGTATAAATAAATATTATTTATTAAAATATATTATTATGATAATAATATCACGGTTTTTGACGGTAAATTATTAATTAATGAAATGCGTTAAAAAAAAATATTTGAGAATATTCTGTAGCAAACCATTTATCTAATAGTATTGAGTATATTATATAGTAATATAATATACTCAATTCTAATAGTATTGTAATGGTCAAGGTCAGGAACTATCACATTAAATTGCTTGTTTTTCCGTATTTTTGGTTGTTACTTGTTATTGTTGTTAATATTATTGTTTATAAACAACATCCAATTGTTTTAAATAAATATACTTGGATAACAGATATTAGACTGTTTTTATGTGATGATATATTGCATTATATTATATACTAGGTACAATATCAATGTATCGCTTAATAAAATATTACACTACTAGAGAGCGTGATATAATATAAAAATTAAATTGGTATGAAATGTATTTTCTAAGCTATATTTGACTGCGTTTACGGTTTATTTCTAAGTGTAATATGAAAATTAAATGTTGGGAAAACTACATTTGTTTTCTACAATATTTTAGTATGATAAACTAAGTGCTAATTAAACTTGGTGACTTCGTAATCGGTAATTGTATTAATGAAATGCTATTAATGAGAGGACAACATATATTCCGTATTACAGTATGTGGTTGTAATTTTAGTTTTACTATTCTACATATTTTTATAACTTATAGTAATGACGAAACTAGTATTAGAGGATAAAGAAATAATACATATTAAAAATGCAGAAGAAGTGTCTTATGAATAGTAAGATGATTTAGAGTTATTGACTTACGACATCTCTTTCGAAGTTAGTCTTTTGGAAATTTCACAGTTGGCAAATTTTTATAACGAATTGAAACCACTTAAAAAAAAAATCACCCATTCTGATAATCTAAATATACTGCAAAAAATTGATTTCGAATTAGTAGATAATATTGTAAAAATGGCAACTGTGTCATACTGTAAAATCAGACAATAATCCGTTAAAATTTTTAGAAATATAAATATGTCGTTTATTTACTCAGTTTTGTATATTCTGTTAATTTTATAAGATTTAGCTATAATGTAATGATATAATTTAATTTTAAAAAGTCTTCGGGGGGAAAATATAAAATAAAAATAGATAAATATAATACAAACTATATGATTTATAGTTGGGATGTTCGACTATGTTTACAAGCGATGCTGATTTATCCAAATTAAGTGCGTCTGAAACGGGAAAGCTCATGGTCTCCGACATTGTGCACAAGACATATGTAGATGTAAATGAAGAGGGTACTGAAGCAGCTGCCATTACTGGTAAGTCGATTAAAAAATAATACTTTTATCAAGGTTTCTTTGTTATTGTGATTATTAAAATGATGGATTTTACAGGCGCTAACTTGGTCTTATATTCGGCTCCGTATTTCTCACCTCACGTCAAGACAGTTCATTTCCACGCGTGTCATCCATTTATGTTCTTTATTATAAAAGGCAATGATGTAATTTTTACAGGAAGACTGGCCGACCCCACCAAATGAAGTTTTTTTGGGGGTTAATTAAGGATATTAAAAAATTATTTTCATCACTAATTTTATGATTTATTAATGTTTTTTTATTTTGTAAGACCTATAGTATACATAATAAATAAAGTTACAAAAGTGTCTCTCCTTGACAAGAATAATGCAATTTTTACCAAATTGATAAAGTATAATATTTATTTACTGTTGTATAATATATATTGTGATGAACTGAAATTGTAATTGTAGAGTATATACATATTTATACTTATTCATACTTTACAAGCCACTCTTATATAATATTTAAAAGAAACATGTAACAAATATAACAATTGAACAGACAAAAAATCGTATTCTAAATTTATCGATTAAGCATTAATTTAAATAAAAAAATGATAACTATTAAAAATAAAAATAAACTTATTGATTTGGGTAGTTATATAAAGTAAAAACCTATTGAAATAATTGACTTGATAAAAAGTTACTTTTAGTTATATCATATTGAGATAGTAGTGAGTTAAAGAGTAAAAACTGTTGATGGTTTTGTTAAGTTAACTTAACTTGATAATTTTCTTATAGCTATGACGTTAATTATTGTCGTGGTAGCCTGGGGGGTCTAATGAACTACCTTATGCTCACCGGTGAAGCCTCTCACATAGTTGTGTTGAATTTATCGTATGTAAAATGTTATTATACGAAACAATAAATATTCAACATTTTTATATATTATATATAAATTACGACTACATTATATTGCTATACTACACGAAAAATAATTTAAAAAATATATATATGTATATTTCTCAGCCGAGTTGCATAAATAATAGAAATCTGATATTATAATAAACGATAAATGCCTAGACTTATTATATATTTTAGTATTGAGTCATGTAACACAAGTAAATGAAACAAATAATAGAAAAAAAATCAAAAGAATATTGCTTCGAGAAGCCGTATAACAATATTTGTCAGTACTTTATGATAGGTAATTTAATAATACAAGATTGTTTTTCCAAGTGAAACATATTATATTTTATGTAATAACGTCATCGATTCATGAATAAACTCTAGAGCCACTTATTTTTATCATTAAAAAATAAATGCTTTTTAATACATTATTATTGTTGTATGATTAGGCGAATGCGATGCATCGATTCAGTATAAGTGAAACTAGCCGTTAAACAATTTTTCGCGATTCATTTTTATTTTATATTATGACGTTATGAAACTTATCAATAGTTAAGTAATTAACAAATAACCTTTTTTTAACTTAAGACATTATTTTCTTGTATAATATTATTTTTTAATCAATATTTTATAAGAAAAACTTCATAGTATAGACAAATTAAACAATACATGATGTAGGTAGGTAATTTGTGTTTTCATAAAAAAAAAAGTATTAAAAATGTTATACAACTAAAAAGCCTGAACAAATAAAAGAGACAGATAATATTATTATGATTAGTTAGGAACTACATATTTTAATCTGTTCGACATATTTAATTTCGAAAGAATATTATACATAATATACCTAACCACTACTTGAGGTGAATCTATCTCGTATAATTGTGCTTTCGTTAGCGAATTGTGGTCAACGAGTTTGACATATTGTAAAAAGAGTACCATATTTTAATATTGTCACATCAGCTGTTAACGGGAGATGCGAATACTGTTACAACACATGCGACAACATGACCCCTCTTCATCCCACACAATTTGCTTCTAGACTATCAGTTTCTTTTTTATTTCAATGTTACTATTCGTTGTGTTGTGATTTCAAGTGCGGCATATGGTGGAACAACATCTTGGTGGTCTGACAGCATCCTTAATGTTATCGTTAAAAAACTATCATTTGAATATCTTAATATGACGGCGAACAAAGAATGGATTGTTGTGTGGTGCTGCTTGGTGGTATTCTTAATCCTTATAGGAGATTCTTCTTCTATAAAATTAGCGAAGAAAAAAAAAGATAAACACTGGAAAGCTCGTGTAATAAGCAACCATTTGAAAACACACAAGACCCTAGAAGGTATGGTAAGGCTGGTGGATGCCGACAACGAATATGAAGGTAAGGAAGCTTTGTATGAAATATCTTTAGAATTTTTTTGAACGAGTTTTGTGAGAAACATGATGTCTAAAAATAAAAACTTTCAGGAGACAGTAAAAACTTTAAAAAAAAAACAAAAATAATAAATAGTTTAGAATTTAAAATACTTTTAACAATTTTTTTCCAAGAAATAAAAGGTTTTAAACTTTTTTTTAACATTAAATTGTTAAACATCATGTTTCTCCAAAAACAGATTATAGGACATCTTTAAATTTACTAAACTAATATATTCATTAAGTCCTTTATTATAGATTTGTAATATAATCTATTTAATAGAGAGGTGTATTATTTTATATTTTATATTATCTTATTATTATTTGAGGATTTTATTAGTAGGTATAACACTAATGAAATCCTCAAAAGTAAAATTAAACCCAAAACCCATAATTCTTGTTAGGAACGTGGCTATCGAATCATAATGAACATTAAACGTAGATACATATTAAATACTTATGCAAATCTCATAATCTGTCAGTTGTCACTAAGTATGATTGAAAGTCTGGGCTTTAAACTTGGGACTTGACATTTGATGTATACACACATACATATACCGAACGAAAATAGATAATTTTTTTATAATCGCTATTTTAAAAGTATTTATGTGAAAATAATAAAATATTTTATAGTTTTTTTAAAAATTTTTTGAAATATACATTTTAATCAACATTTCATTAAACACAGAATTTTTGTATATTAAAATAAAAGTCATTCCTAAAATAATTTATGGATTTTTTAACGCATTTGGATCTGTAGCAAGATCAGACCCATTACCATATTTTAAACGAGTTTATATTTTTTGAAAGGTGAAGAAATTTAATTTCAAGAAAGATGCCATAATAATATTATTCGTCTTTAGGGTGGTGTATGTTTGTCATAAAATATAAACCCATTCCGTATTTTATTGTGACATTTTCTATATTTGGGAGTATGTTGTGTAATAATATCTAAAACACATTTATAGGATTTTTGTCCACAAGGCTATTCGTGGGCTGCCTCTCGATAAACTAATGAATACCTTTGGACGTACATCTTACCGAGTTTGGATATATTTTAATTTTTACAGGTGTGTGTTTATTATCAGAAAATACCAACTATAGATTATAAATCGATGATATAACACAATCGACAAAATATATAAAGTGATATATACTAAAACTGCCACACTGGTTTTAATATTAAAAATATAATTTTATTAATTTTGTATGAGATAATAAATAGATATCGTTCACACTAAGTTTTACGCTTTCTTACTAATTACTATAAATGTTTACTCAGCTACTTATGTTTAAAAACTGTGCTGAACGTTTGTTAATAATAAAAAAACAACTTAACAAAGAGAGAAAAATAAGGTGAATTAATAATTGATTTGTAAGAAATAATACTTTTTAAACAATCGATATTGATTAATATTTTACGAATGACACTACGATGTGGATTTGTAAATTATATTATATAGTTAGCGTTAAAACACAATGTTGGTTAACATTTTTACTTTTTATTAATTTAGATGTATATGGACATTAGAAATCAAAATATATAACACTAGTTACTACTATTATAATTTGATAATTTTAGTTTAAGTAACTGTGGTTTTCGCACAAACCTCCTGCATATTATTTTATTTGAATTATATTAAGCAAAATAAATGTCTACGAAGTATGTTATGTAAAGCGTAGAAATAAAAAATTAACGATAATCGGCTAATTTGTTTACTCCGCAATTTTTAGGAATATTGTACAGTTAAGGTGAAACTATAGCGAAAGAAATGAAACTTATTAAACACATATTGACCCAGATTGACCATACATTTCTATTGCATGCATTCACGATGCTATTATCTATCTGTATGATTCTTACTATACTGATATTCGCATCGAAGGGTTAATACTTTCAGTTATAATAAAATAATTTCTGTGACTTTGCCCGCTCCCTATGCTCCGTTTCCACTTTTTTCCGACCCCACTGTAATGTTTTTTTTTTACTTAATAAGAAATATGATATTCATAATATTACTATGAGTTCAGTTGCATGTTGATAAATGTATTCGTTGATGATTAGTCTTGTGAAAATGGTGTTTCACTTGAAATTTACTATTCCGGTTTCATGATTGGTTATTAGAAATTTAAATTAATGAATAAATAAATCAAATAGGTTTTTTTAATTTTTATTTGTATTACACATACACTCGCAACGAAGAAAAAAAATAAACATGTAATTATTGTTTTTTAGGAAACGTAGAAATCCTCCATATGGGCAAGTGGGGTGCAGTTTGTGATGACGAATGGGACGTACGCGACGGCCAAGTAGTCTGTCGGCAACTTGGTTTTGACCGTCTGCTTAAGGTCACGCATAACTCTCATTTCGGACAAACAACTAGTGAGTGGTTTTTGAATAGGTGTTTTTTGAAATGTGAATAAATGTGTTTTTGGTATTTTTTATGCCACAGGAAGTTATTGGATGGACAATATAAGGTGCGGTGGTGAAGAAAAAGAGTTATCAGATTGTAGATTTGATAGCTGGGGTGAAAGTGACTGTGATCCATCCGAAGCTGCCGGTGTAGTGTGTGAATCCTCCAACACTCAACAGAATATCACAACAACTGCACCTACAGAAATACCACAAAAAAAAATTAAAAAACATAAAATAAAAGTATTTGACTACAGTACATTTAACTAACGTTTTAAAACTATTATAATAAAAAAATAGATATTCACTTACAAAAACTCATAATTATACTAATATTGATATATATATAACACACATTTTAACAATTTATTTCCAACTTGTTATATATACACAAATAATTTATATTACTTTTAGTGATACTTCATTACATAGAATAAATAGTAGGTAGGTACACAAATGTAATTATTAAGAGAGACGTGTGTTGTATACAGTGAATAGATATATTGTATTCTCAAATAGGAATAATATGGAAATGAGGATTAGAATGGTCGTCCCCACTTAATGTAAGAGACTTAGAATACATTACAAATTACAATACCTCACTTAAAGGAAACAATGAACTATTATATATTTAACGGAAAATACCACTGAATCAAACCCTCTTCTTCTACATAATGTGTTATTAAATAACTAATTAATTTGTAACTAAAATCAAGCTGTAATATTATTATTACTACTCGTAAATAATAAATAGTCCGTTAAAACATAATAAGCTGTGACAAACACACTTAAGTTGTAGTAGTTTTAAATATCTATGGTTCTTAAGATAAATAATTAGGATACATTAGGAAATACATTTATGTTTTCAATATTGATTAATTTTACAATATTTAATACCTGATATTTATAATTAAATCGGCGATTTCAAAAACGACATAAATCACTGGTTTTACAAAAAATTACTTTATGTCAAATTTGATCATTATTCATCATACTACATTTCTCAAACTAATATTTAATAAAAATATCGACCGTAAGAAACTAGTTACTGTAAAGTTAATATCTGGAGTGCCTAATTCATTTTTTTTTGGTACAATTAAAATTTAATGACCTCTGTCATTTCTGAATGACCGATTCAATTATGGGTTGTATACATTACGATTGAGAGTGGTTTGTCCTATACACAGGACTCTGCTGGATCAAACTTTGAATTACGACTGGCTGGAGGTAGAGAACCACAAGAAGGTCGAGTTCAAGTCAAAACAAAAGATGGTGAGTACCAAGTGCTATAGGTATTAATTAATTATGTTTACCGGAATTTCAAGATTTTTACACTATTTAAAACCCGTGTATTAATATGTCAACATATAATAATGTTATAACATCTAGAGGTTACGGATATGAACGGGTAATAAAAATAAAGGAATACCCGAGTTCGTTTTCCGGTTATTACATATTTGCCTAATCGTAACCTCTAATAATTATTATACATATAGCTATTATGTCTTAAAAATACTTACTAAAAATCATTTGAAAATAATTAAAATAGTTAAAATTTAATACATTTTATACTTAATTTTAGCTTAAATGTGTAAAGAGTAATGCGTATCATTAATGTATGCAAAAAACTATAATTATTGGCTTATGCGATTCTCGGTGTTGATACACAAATATTATTCTTTAAGCCACCCGCTTTCAATTTAATATTATAGTATACATTTATCATATTTTATATTTTTTCTTGTCATCGTTATGTGATATCACTTGATTTAAAATATTTGTTTTATTGAAGTGTAAATACATATGTGACTACAACTTAGATATTTTGTTCTTCTTAAACTTATATGCGCAACAGTAATATTATTGATCGTACTATGAATAAATCATTCGGAGTTTGGTTTGTGATCATATCAAAATAATATATTTTTTTGGCTTGCTTCTGAAAAAAAAAATGTTTTAGACACTGTTTAAACGATGTCTCTCGCCTATTAATCTAGTATAAAAAAAAAATTTTTGGTAAAAGCTATTTAGTTTTTATTTTAAAAAGCATTTTAAATAATTAAACATAAACTTTATTAACTTTCAACACTTATCGATAGACATGATCTATACTTAACAAAATAATTTGAATGACTTTGATAGGAAATAATAGGGTATTTTTTTTAATTTACCTATTGAACTATAAATAATATTTGTAAATAAAATTAAAACAGGATGGGGAGTGATTTGCGGTGAAGGTTTTGGCGTGCTCGAGTCAATGGTAGTATGTCGTTCTATGGGCTTAGGATATGCAGCCGGCGGTATCTATCAGACAGATCAGTTTGGAGGCTTAGATGATATGATTGCCTTGTCAGCAGTTGAATGCAAAGGCGATGAATCCGGTCTCGAACATTGTTATCATCAGCGTAGTGCTGACTGTGTTTCAAAGAAGAAGACCGTGGCAGCCGTCATGTGTGTTACAGGTGAATTGTAATTATATAATATACAACAGTAGGAAAACAAGATTAAGGCATTTACGTACATATATGTATTATTTATATTACATATATTTTATTACTCATTAAATATATTACAGTATAGTTATTATTGAGTGAATAGTTTAACAATTAGTTCTAATCGAATAAGCCTTATGTATACAAATTAAGAAGGGTTTTTACTGTAATTTACACATTACGTATAAAAACCACAAACAAAATTGTATTAAAAGATACTAAAAACAGTACAACTTTTTTAAGGATGTTTAGATACGGATAAAAAATATCATCTTCACTATATAATTAAACACTAAAGCACATTCGATTTAATACAATCATTCCATATAATAAATATTATATTTATATATTATATGCTAAGCGAGTTAAATTATTTCAGTTCGGCACAAATAAAGTTATTTAACAAAATAAAATAAAAATTGATAATACTTAGCCCCTCAGTTGATATCATTAACTTTTCTAACTTAATTTTTTTTTACTTAGCAATATTTTACACGTAGTTTGTAAAGTGTTTTTATTGGGATAAATGTCAACAGAAACTACACAAAAAGTTAATAAGATAAAAATGTCTATGTTTTTCATATATTTTAATTATATACATAAATTATTCTTACAAAATATACTATAAAGAAATGTTTTATTGAAGAAATGGCTGATCTCTCTATAAATGCTGATGAAATCATTAGCTCAGCGTATCTCGAAGACAAACAAATGTACTTTTTACAATGTGCAATGGAGGAAAACTGCTTGGCGTCGTCTGCTTACCAAATTCGACAAGAAGACAGTTATAATTGGCATATTATAACCAGAAGATTGCTACGTTTTACTGCCAAAATAACAAATGTAGGAACCGCCCCTTTCCGTCCGGCTATACCTAAACATTTATGGCAGTTTCATCAATGTCACATGTATGTATCTTTTAATATCCTATTGTCAAGTACATAATATTTTTTTTTTGGTATTTAAAGTGAGTTGTAATCTGTGATTTTACTTCATAAAAAACGTGTTTATTTAATCATTTGTTTTTAGTTTTCATAAAATTATATTATAACATATTCTCGGTTATATTCAGCGCGATTCTTTAAGATTCAATTAAATTGTACTTCATAATATGGCCAAATAGACATTTTTTTATCCAATGGATAAATGTAAATATATTTGTTTTATACATATAAAATATATTCTAAAATGTTTTTAACATCTTTATATGTTAAAAAAGTTGTAATATATAATTGGTAATAATTATTGGTTTCTTTCATTTGAAAATTGCATTTACATATACCATGTTCTGTATGCTTGACTTTAATGTTTATATAGGCATTATCATAGCATGGAAGTATTTGCCACTTTTGACGTGATGGACATGGGCGGTATGAAGGTAGCTGAGGGACATAAAGCGTCGTTTTGTTTGGAGGATAACCAATGCACTGATGGAGCAAAACCAACGTTTGCTTGCGCTAACTACGGTGACCAAGGAATATCGGTAAACTGTTCGGATATTTATCGCCATAACATTGACTGTCAGTGGGTGGATATTACAGATCTCAACCCCGGATTATATACGTTCAAAGTAAAGTACCCACGCATTTCAATAATCCTATAACAGCCTTGAGTGGTCTAAGTATTTTGTGGAGAGAGTAATCGATTAGCTCATTTTTTTTCTTTTAAAAATAGTTAATTGTAGCTCATCGTAATATTATTGTTCTAAAAAAAGGTTGCTAATATATTATAAACAAACATATTTTAAGATATTTGGGCATTGTCAGCCAAAAAAAGAAAGATTGTAACAAAATTGTGACAAAATAATAGAAATTGTCTAGATTGAAATTTTATTTGGATAATTTTCGGATGTATTCCCATAGTCATTGTTGGATTCATTTATTAAGATAATGCAACTGCCGTCACTAGTCAGTATAGTCATAACAGTCGAATAGTGACTATCGCTCCGAAGATAGACTTCACAATGAGTCCGAAACGTCAGCATAAATCTAGACATGAACATATCCGACAATTATCCAAATAAAAAGTCTACATATAATCAATAACCAACTAAATAGTCAACCTAATGATTTTTTTGTGCAGGTTTCGGTCAATCCTGAGTACAAAATTCCTGAAATGACATACACCAACAATGCGGTAGTTTGTTCCATGTACTATTCCGAAACGTTTGTAAAAATTCACGACTGCATTATCCAAAATCCGTGATAACACATTTCTGTATTGGATAATTACTTTTAAAATTAAATTGAACACACTTAAGTAATTTCTTATTTCAATAAATAGTTGCCTGGTATTTTATTGATTTGTTAACATCAAATTAAAATTAGCAATAAAATATGCTATCGTTCGAATCCTAATGATTGATGTAAGTTTTTTCTCATTTGTTTTTCTAAGTACTATAATAATAATTATCTTTTGACGATCATCATATATTTTTTGTCTTGCAGATACTTCAAATTAGTTTTGTTGTAAAATACTTTTAATAGTATTCTTTTAAAAATAATTTTTTATATACCTTTAACATTTTCATTTATTAATATTAAAGGCATATTTGATTACAATCGTTTGTTTATAATTCGACTTTCAAAGGGGTTTCTTCTAAGATAACGTTGTTTTTGTAAAAGTGGTAATGTTTCTTCCCCAAAATGTTTCTAACTGCACCAGGTATATTGTACTTTTCCAAATACACATTTTATTTGGTATTGTTATCACTTACAATAATCGCTATAGTATTTTATTATTTTATCTTATGCATGATGTTTAATGCAAAAAATGTAATGCGTTCATTTTTATTTGAATGTCACAATTGTATTTTAATTTTTCATAGTTACAAGATATAAATTATCTAAGAAAAATCTGACCGTTTTAATAGTGCATCACACTTTTGTGATAAAGTTATAAACAAATATGCCAAAAGGAAAGTTAGGTGTTTAGAGATTAAAACCCATAAATATGATGTATAGTAAATGTTGAAGGGCTACACAAAATATTAACGTATTATTAAATTGGAAGGTTTAAAATTTTGAGTGTCTTATAGGTCGTCGTAAAAAATATAGCCTTCAGAGTCAATGTCAATGAAAAAATAGTCCGGTTTGTTTTGAGCGTGAACATTTTCTAAAAAGTAGGGTTCGTCACATCACTAAACAAGTTATTAAAATCTGAGCAAAAAAAACGATTTTAGTGGGGGCTCTAAGGTATTTAATTAAAGGTAAAAAATTAACTTAGATATTTAATAAATTTACTTTATAATTGTACTACATCAGAGGGGAATTGTATTCATTTTAGTCGTTACCTCTTTTTCTCTATCGATAATGATCCTATACTTAAAATATTTTACTATGTTTAAATTTGAATTTTCGACTTTGGATGGACTATAATCTCCCGCCACTCTACCACCATGTACTCTGTTTTGTTTTAATTTACTTGTAAACCAACATTTATCACCATAGAAGGGTACCAGTACTGCAGCTATAATACATACCTAGAAACTTTAAAGACTTAATAAAACAAGTCCATACAAATGCGCTTAAACGTCACAACATATTTTCTTAAAAAAAATATAAATATAAATTTAATAAAATAAAATAAAAAACAGAGTATAATATTAAGTTGTAAGTTAACTTGAACACCTATTATCCATCCTTAAATGAAAAAAAAAATTGTTATGTTTCTTAGGACAACTTTTTTACCTATTTGATTTGTATCTATTTATAAATTCACTATTTTTTCTGATAGAGTTAAAAAATTAGAGGTTTTTTGAGTTCTTAGTCGATCAAAATACCGACTAGTCAGATAAAGAAAAAAACCCTATCTTGTATAAGTAACGATACAATGACTTGTTTTTTTTGTAGAAAACACCTAAAACAATGAAGAATTTTATAAGCACACAATCAGAATTTTAGTTTAGTAAATTGTCCAGGCATTTTCATAATAATATTTCATAGTAACTAGTTACTATAAGTAATATAAGTAGGCAAATAAATCAACAATTTTTTTTTTTGATCAAACATATTTTATTGGTTTACATCCACTGAAATTCTAAAAACAAAACAAACCAACAGACTAGCTAAGAATTCGAATCCAGATTTTAATATAGACTGAAATCTTTGACTCTTAAATATAATATAAATATATATATTCAAATACATATTTGAATAACTAATGAATATAATATTTGTAATGTTTAAATGTTTAATAGTATATTATTTTTTTAATACTAGAATTATGGTAGAACTATTTGTTTTAAACCCCATTATAATGTTTAAAATTACATAATTAATATCTAGACAAAAAACAAACAACGCCTAACGTTAATTCAACGCAGAAAACACTATTTACAATATATCATTACGCTATACACTATATTAAACAATAACTTCGCATGTTTGTTTTAAATGTTATTGTGGATCGTGTAGACCTGAGCCGTTCGACTGGTACAAGTGAATCGCTTTTTATTTAACTTTATGTTATTAACATTTCTCATACATATATATATATATTTTTTTTTTATCAATGATCATGATTTTTTGTCATAACACCTATATAATTCAATATACATTTTAGTACAAATTAGTATTAATCAATATTTTTCTAATTATAATTTAGACAATTTTGAGCAGTCTATGAAATTACTTTTTACACGTTCATTGGGTAGTTATAATGAATGTGTAAAACAATAAAAACAAAGTCAGATGGCGAACATAGATTATTCGTTGAGAATATTCACAGCCTGATTATTTTTAAATAATATAATTTTTTTTAATGGCAAATATATAATGTTTATATAATCACTTATGATAATTTTCCAATTAAGTGTTAATACAAGATTAAGAGCTGTTTGTTTGAAGTACACATATGTTGAAATGAAGAATAAAGATTGACTGTAGTTATTAGTTAATAAGAACGTCCACAATAAACAAAGAGGTCGTAGAACAAGCGAAACGTACACAAAGCTTGTATGTTACTACGAAAACTACAGTAAATTAGTGAGTGTGTGTATAAATAGAATAACCTTTAAAATAGAATAAAATTCAAGTAGGTTAAAGAAAGATTATCAGAAACCGAACTTTATCTACAGAGATATAATAATAGTTATAATTATTAAATGAGATATAAGTAGTAAAGTATAATAATAAGTAAACAAGACAAAGCGAGGTGAAAATAAATGAAGGAATGTGCTAAAATTAATTGACAAACACGTTGGTTTAAAACTAAATATTTTCCAATCAAATAAAATTTTACAAAAATAAATAGTTAATTTTTTTCCCAAAACAATATATAATCAATAATAAATAATTCACAATTAAAATATTTAACAAAACTAAAGGTTTTTATATTATTTTTATTAATATTTCGTTTTTTATGTGAAGGGAATAAATGCAACTAAAAAACTTTTGTATAATATAATATTATTGTCGTTTTTAGAAGAAGAAAACAAAAAATGATAAACAAACTTTTGGGCCGTTGTAATATTCTCAATTGTTGTGAGAACTACATTTCGTGTTTTAGTACTATATAATTATAAGAGATTTATTTTAAAATAATTATTATTAGTTACTCTGACTAAAAAGATCTTAACATTACTTTGTTTTATTAAGCTGAATTAACATTAGTCATTAATAACAATCATGTTGTTAAAATTTACATTACTCACATACTATTATATTAGATACAGTTCTGATTCTATTTGTAATTGCTCAATAATTTTATAATTCATAAATCATGATAATGTAATAATATTATTTACCTAAAATGTTCGATTTTGTTAAAACTGCAAAATTCTAACTTGACTTTTATAAATGTTATACAATAACAACAATAACAATTTTTTTAAATACTAATATACATAAATACTTTTTTTTTGTATCATAATAATATTAATAATAATTTATAACACTCTATATTACTTTTAATGAGTTTGAATCACAATATTTTTTTTTCAATTACGCTGTTACTGGTTTTAATTTATAATTTTTAATTGTTAGTAATTGTTCTGCGTCGATTTCAATGAGCACAACTCACTGTAAACTGCATTTGCTCTCGATCTGGGACTTGAGTTCATTTACCTGGGTTTCAATAGTGTTCTTTAGTTCTGTAGAACAAAAAAAACAAAAGTTTGTATCATATAAATAAATAACAATAAAAAAGTCAAAACTATTTTGTAATAATACGAAAATGGGATAACCAAATGAATAATGAGGAGGTTTTACAACAATAGTAATAAGAAAAATGATACAAATAATAACAATGACATCTTTCTATATAGTGCTTTGTATTTTATAACTCTTAAAGAATTGCATAACGTTACGCGACATAATTATATCAAAAACATAAGCTTTTCCGTTTTTTTTAAAAACAACTTTTGCTTATCTGTTTTTCGAAGTTCTAATCGGGTGAACTGAAAGTGCTTATTTTAGTATTCTTTATTTTTCTTTTACGGAAATTATAATATTGTTAGTATTATTATCATCATCATCATCATCATTGTTTGTCCTCGATGTGCGCTTTGTTTTTATATTGATATTGCGTTTTCAAATTTAAATATATTATTCTTGTTATCTTATCATTGTAAAGTTACGTTTAAATAATTGTTAATCTATTTTTATGCTCGAAAATAAACCGCCAATTGTTGAAATTAACGATACATAAATAAAAGTTGATATCGCTCTGGAAAATACTAAAAAAGTAAATACTTGATTATTTTGCAATATTGTATAATCACATTAAAAAAAAATGTTTTCAAAAAGAAAACAGGCAAAAATGTAATTATTTTCCGAAAAATTGAGTGTCTTACGTAAAAGTAATCACCCTGTGTATACATAGTATTATGTACCAATAAAAAACTAAATGCCTTTGAAAATAATTAACATTTTGAGTTTGATTTTTTAATTTTTTATATATTAAGTTAATGGTTAGATGCATCCAATTTCATTACTTATAATATTTCATTATTTATATGTACACCTCAGTGACCATTTGTATTATTAATGGTAACGAATATCGTCAACTAAACATAATGATTTTTCTTTAGCTATAAACGAGTTCTATTTAACCATTAGAGTAGAAAAATGTACCCTCGTTTGCCGTCCGAATACCAATGAATAAAACAAGGACAATAAACCTTGATAAATAAATCACGCTGTTCCGAGTTGTCCCCAAAAAAGTTGTCGATAGTACTTTTTCCAAACGTTTGTCGCAAAGCCTTTTCAATTTTATGGTACTTTGACTTTATTGCTTTTTTCCACTCTTTATGCTTATTAAATTTATATCATTCTAGGATATGGACTTTAGATTAAGGCTTGAGTAGAAAATCTCAGCTTAAGATAATTATTTTTTTCCGAAGATTAAAAAGAAATAAAAGTATAGCTAAACAAAATAATATAATACCCGTTTTTTTTTTATAAAATATTTTATATTAAAATAAATATGTGAACATCATCGCGGCTATCATAGCTTAATAGATTAGGGAAATAACCTAATAAAGAATGTACGAAAATGTGGTTTATTTATAAAGCTTGTTAATTGAATAAATACGCTTCTAAAGGCAGGTATGCTAGTTAATCACTATCATATTGAATTTGAATTTATATTGTAGGAGATTTTAAAAAAAACGGAGGTTTTAGTTTTTTAATTAAATAACTATAAAATTATAAACAATACATTGGGTAGCTGAAGCTTTAATTATGAATTAACAATAAAAAGTCTAATTTTTAATTAGTCGTTTATTATTATAAGTATGCTTGAGTTTGTTGTGATAAATCATCGTAACTAAAAATACCCTTACGTCAATTTAAAATGTACAAGTATTTTAACAAATGTAAAAAATAACCTAATGACTGCCTTACTTGTAAATTCGTCTTCTTCTTCCATTTCCGCTTCCTTGGCCAATTCTTCGGGCGTTTTCTTTTTGCGCATTAAAGGGTTGGCTGGCTCTTCCTGAGTCGGTTCGGGTAATTCTTCTTTCTTCTTGATGTTGTACTGTTAACAAAGTATACAATATACATTATATATGTATTGAATGTTATATTATGTATGTTAATATACATCATTTGGATTTACTTATGTTTTAAAAATTAGGAGAATACTGATAAACATTATAAATAATCGCTAGAATCAATTTGTTCGGTTGTTAATGTACAACGTTATTATATTCGCATAATTGATTATTAATCGGTACTAGAGATTGGGGTCGAGTCATTTATTTGGCATTTTTATTTACATTTTTCACCAATCAAAATCGTTTTTTTATGATAAAACCCATTAAGGTCATTATTATTTTTTCGTCTGCTAATCACTAAACAAAGAAAGAAAGTGGGAAAAAAACAAGAATTTCTAGAGGCGGCGAGAAAAAAATCTCCTTGTTGATACAGCTCACTCGTTTTGCTACACCATCAGGCATGTTCAGTCTGACACATTATTTTTACATAACCGTTCCATTCTTTACTCGTTTTTTACTCCCTAGAGATGAAAAACAAAGTAAATCCTTGCTAATTCATTTATTCTGACAATAATTTATTTTTCTAGTTTTCATTTTTTTTAAAGCATTTACATTTTACATTAGCAACATCCTTTACGTCCACAATAAGAAAGTACATTATAGTCGACAGAAATGAATATAAAAGCTAATCAGTCATACAAAATTAAAATTTTAAATTAAACATACCCTAAGGTTACCGACTAAGAGGATCAAAATAAATTAATAATCATTAAAAGTCTTAAACACTACAGTCGATGTTTTACGCAACGATTTTTTCATCTTACTAGACACTTAGAGTTACTTATAATTTTTTTAAATGATTTCAGATAATACATATTAAATATATATATTATATTTAATACCTTATACCTAATTAAATAATTTTATTAAATAAACTACTTATTTTTTACATCACGGGTAAAAATTTGAGTTCAGCGCAATTTACCCCAGATTTTTTTAGAGAAAAAAAATCTGGCCATTTTACTAATTAATTTTAAAGTTGGAACGTATTGGTACGTCAGTGTATTGAATTAAAAAAATACACGGCTCAATTAATGTGCGTGGTGCAGGTTTCAGGTCTGGAGAAGATAATGACTAAGTGGTTAACAAAAATTTGACATGCACTTCCCTCCCAGTCGATGTTATCGAGATAATAAATCAATTCTGCTGCTCGTCTCTATGGGGTTCTGTTTTTGATGTGTTGCCCTCCTACATCGCCATTGCGAGTAACTTTCCATTCGTGACTTTTGGCCCCGACCGACTACTCTAAATTCACCCTCAAATCACCGACTATGTTTTTAGAAAGAAAACAATTTATTATATTTTGTCAAATACCTACGTTTGTTTTAGTCTATGGTAAATAATAATTTACATTTTTACCTATTCATTATTCAATCACAAACTACATCGTCGATAGGTACTTTATAATTTTTAACCAGTTCTATAATATTTATGTTTAAGATATTATAATTGTATTTTAATAACAGCTAGCTTCACGAAAAGTGTAATGTAATTGTTATAAGCCAATGTATTTATTGATAGTTGTAAAATAAATCTGAGAGAATATAAATAGTTAATTTAAAAAAATAAAACAATATATTTTTAAAATAATAGCAACAAATGTATAAAATTCACAAAAAATAACAATACTCAATTTACAAATTTTAAGTAATAAATAATATAAAAGTAATTCTGTGATAAACACATTTATGAATTACTGAGTAAACATGAGTAATATACTTGTAAATTGATTTAATTGAACATTTGTTTAAAAAATTAATTAGGTATTCGATAATTTTTTTTATATTTATAAAAGAGGTAACTGCAAATGAGTAAATTATGAAAATATTGTATAATTGGTACACAGTATATCCAAGAATGGCTGTAGCAATGTTCGTATAACTATTTAAAAAAAAATTATATGGTCTTCAAATTTTTTAATGATTTTTATGTAATATTAACATAAAAAAATAGTTGAATCGGTCGAGTCTTAACTGAACTTGTAGAAATGGAACACTTTTACAGTCATATTGGAATTTATATCTTATTAAAAGTTTGCAATATTCAAGCACAATCAGAATTATTATTATTACTTTTACAAGACATTATTATTGTTCACATAGTTACATATGTAGCTGAATTGCCTACATATAACGCCGTGTTACAAAAATAAAGTGTACGGAAACTAATGTTGTGGGCTAGAATATATATGGCTGATTACATTGAAATTTAATCTATTTAATATTTATCTATATCATAAAATTTAATACATTTGATTTCACCAATTGTAAACATTTTAAAATGATTTCTTAGGCCTTTGGACATATCTATAATTTAGGTTAACAGTATAAAATAATATGTATAATCATACTTTATTTTACTTTAATAAATTGTATAATTAATATTTAGAATATTGTCCTCGAAAAACACAATAATTTATATTTAAACTTCGCGCAAAATATGAATCGTATAAAAAAAAAATACATAAATTATAGTATATAAAAATTTAGTTATTGAGTTCTACACGTTGATAAATGCGGACGGTCAACGATGAATGTGACTACAGCGTTTCAATCTGACCCCATTAGGGAGTCGCATTTAATATCAGGACTCCCTACTAGAGTCAATTTGAACCACATAAGCACTAACTGAAGGTTGTGACCGCCTGTGTTCTGGCAATTCATCGGTACAACGTCCAAAATTGTGTCCAATTTGTAACCCTTGTTACAAAATATGTTTTGCTGCAAACTGCTATTTCTTTTTCAGCATTTGGTTTTCTCATTTTGAGCTACATGCAGATGGTAAAATATAAGGTTATTATTGATCCCACACAGTGATTCCAATATTTACGACTATAACAGGAAGCGTCCACGGTTCTGGGTCAGGTAGTTTTACTGTGTGTATATTGTGTATGCGTGTGTGCTGAACTTACTCAAGCATTCTGTATCGTACATCATTTTTAGAGGGACTATAAAAACGTCAAATGGCTTATGTCCGGGGACCGAATTCAAAAAGTGAACTTATCGAAAAACAATTCTGGCCCACCATTTCATACATAAAACTTTACTCTATTTCCCATAGGTTTTGATAGAAACTCTAGTATGTTTTCCTAAACTACACAGTTTCTTAAACATTTATTAATTTATTCGCAAGATACCGACTGATCTACCAAATCTCCTTTTAAGGACTATAACTAAAATTTGTATACTGATAAATACTCTCAATTGCCCATTAAACAAAAAAAAAATGAATTATACGCTTATATTTTATAACAGTAGTAATAACCCAAAGCTTAATATTTAATAATGAAGCAAATTTAATTTTTAAGCGTATGCATCATTACATGATTACATCATTACCTACAACGTTAAACAATTTCTATTCTTTAATTACATACTTAAATAAAATATAATACATTATTTAATCAAAATACAATAGCTATAACAGAAATAATTGACTGTGATAGGATTTAATAAACTTGAACAAGATGTATCAATCTCTTTTCATTTTATTTTAGGAGATTTAAATTAGACATGAGAGAATAAATAAATTAGATCTAAATTACTAAAAATATTTGTATATTATCAAATCATAGCATGTCATAAGTGGGATCCAAAAAATTACTTTTCTCATTAAATGTCAACAATAAAATAATATCTTAGTTTTAACTTTTATTTGTGTAGTAGGATTGCGATAGAACTATAATTTCAAAAAACTAAAAACATGTTGTAATTTAAACAAATAACTTACAATTAGTTTAAAATTTTAATTTTGGTAAACTTTAGATTAATATAATACTATAAAAAAAAATTTACATTATTTTAAGTACAAATTGTTTTCTAACTAAAGCAAAATGTATTACAACAAGTATGTATGTTTTCTTGAGCAAAATAAAATACATAGCAGAAGTTCAATAAAGTTAACATCTGGCAGCGCTTTATCAATTTTGTCACAATTAAAATGAAATACAATCTTTAAAATGAAACCTAACTGCTAATTTTACTAATTAAGGACCCTGAGAGCCCTGAAATGTAGATGCATTTTTTTAAATTGTGTAAAGTGCACAATATGTTAATGTTATTAAATACATATATAACATGATATTATACAACAATAATATTGATGGGGTTTTTATGGAAACAATTGAATACAACTTATATTAATTAAAAAGCAGTAATGATTTAAAATATGACAATGGTACACAAATAATATAGGTTTCTAGGGGGCATAGAATTATAGTTAAAATTATTATATTAAATGTACAAAAACAACACAAAATATATTCTTGTGGATAGTCGTTAATTATATAAGAATCGGTGTAGGATTTGTTTAAAGTGATATATTATAAATACAAAATGTTTGTATTTTAAATCTTAATCGTCCATCAAGTATCTATCTTTTGATTTCGTGGTTCAGTTATTTAATAGCTTGTGAGGGGAGCACGACAATTGTCTATATCTATATATTATAATATACTCCGTCTGTAAACGGGTTAATTTCCGGCCAAACAAAACCAGAAACGTATTGCCGATAGTCTTCCGGGGGCAAGTCATATATATAGCCATGATAGTCATATAGCTGGAAACCCACCGTCACGCCATATCTACACTGGCTGAGAGCGTTTCTCAATATACGAGCCAGATAGGTTTTTACCTGTCACGAATCGAAAACAGAGCATTTTGTAAAGCCAATTATATATATATATATTTTTTTTTCTGATTGCTGAAAAAATTAAATCTGTATTTACGACAGTTAATGGAATCGAGGTCGTTCGGGGTACGGACGGGAAATTGCGGTATTGCCAAATTAAATTGCCTGCTTAATGAACTGTGTTATTGATATTTGCTCTAACGAACGCCTTCTAATAATCTTATTAGCTGGCGGTTAATCTTATTAACTCTAAAAGTTGTAAACGTACAAACTCATTTGTTTTAAGGTGATATTTAATCTTAAACATTACAGGGAGTTTTTAATATACCTACTCTAACCTAAGATAAGTAAAAATATGTACCTATGTGACTTTGGTGTGTATTATACACGAGGCTGTATTTATGTTTACGATTTCTTTGCTGTAAAACGCTATTGTAAAATATCATATATTATACCAGAATGAAACGTATAACAGTTGGTATAATTATATAAAAGTAATATATTATACAAATTAAATTTTACTTGATCGTTCGTTTCTGTCTCAAAACTTTATTTTGACTTGCAGGGTGAAAGGTATAATACTTTAATACTCGTATTTCTTTCAAATTAGCTAATGGCGGCTATATCTTGCAGCAGTATGCTAATTCCTTGTAATTTAAGCAATAGTTTTAAGGCGTATAATGAAGTATGTACTAGGTGGCTTGGAGTGAATATAATGGTGTTATTCGGGAGTAAGACAACTAAGTTTACATAATTTAATGTCACCAATGCACCCGCTTTTTTCAATACATCCAAGAACGTCTTTGTCGTCTGCTAACTACCATCGTTGTCTGTAATAAATATGATTCGTACGCAGTGGGCTACCGTACTAAAAGGCTATGTTGTAAATTTTAATAATCTATCCTTTAACGTTTTAAAGTAATGGCTAGCGGTTATATGAACAGTAATAAACGCCATTATATAGAGGTAAAAGGTTGTTGCCGTCAGCAATTTTATTTTACAACAAACCTTTAGTTGTTTCAATAAAAATATAGTGTTAAGCCATTTAAATAAATAAACTCGTCCAAGCCAGAGAACAGCAGACAGGAAAAAACGATTGGTATTTTAAGTATCAATATAAATAAGTACCGTCCTTAATAATATAATTAATGAGTATAATCAGAAAATACTAATAATCAGAATAGAAATGTCGAGTAAGACAAATCATTTACTTGAGTAGGTATTTTATACATTATTTGTGTTCAATAATCTTAATGATATTATTAAACATTATCTCTATTTTATTGATATAGTTTTATTGGCAGTTTATTCTATTGCGGTCTAATGATAAAGAGTCCATGAATTATTAAAAAGTAGTAAATACTCAATGTTATAACAATACAAAAATTAAGATATATAATTAATAAGTTACGACTTAAATTAATTTTACCGTACTAAAATAAGTAAAATTGTTTGCTTTTAATATATGATGTAATGATATAACACAATTACAAAATTATGTATAATGTTTATTAATGGACATATTCGTTAGGTAAAACTGAATTATGGTCTTACATTAATATTAAAAAAGATAATACCTTGGAGCAAGTATACATAGAACATACATTTTTGTTTTGATTGACCTTATATTTTTTCACAATATTGTAAACCAAAGAAAACAAAAAATAGTGGATGAAAATAAAACAAAATGGGAGACCTTAGTGATTTTTATTTTGGCTTTGGATATAATAACTTTATAACTTAGAAACTGCCGCAGGTAAAACAAGTAATATTACATTGCTTTTTTGTCCATGATGTTTATCAATGGTAAATATGCGGGTTGCGTTGGTTTAAAAATTTGACCTTTATGGCATCAAGCCAACGCGATAGACGTTAGTGTACTACTTGAATCGAATAATAGTTGGCAAACGCGGTCAGGATATGGTAGTTGACAACCCGCCCCAAATAATTTAAACTTATCCCGTGGATCTAAGCAGTGGCCCAAAACTAACCCAGTATTATAAGCTATATCTTAGGTTAATTATTGAATGACGCGTTGAATATTGATAAATGCGCTCAAGTTTCTGCCGATCAAACATTTAAAATTTGAATATATTATGATATTAAGATATTAGTTTAGAAAAAGCAACACTTGTGGTTATTTAGTAAAGAAATAAAATAATTAAGTATTTTAAAGCCCTCATCCACAAAAACTATTACACTAAATAGATGTGTATTGATTTTAGTGGAGGGCTTTTTAAAAATAAATGTTTATACTTATTTAGCATATATAAGAGTTATTTAACTAATATAACTAAATAGTAGTATATTATTATAAATATTAAATTATTTAGCTATTTAATTTTGATGATATTTTAAAACATACAGGGTGCTTCTTTTTTTTTTTGTCCATAAGTATTTTGCTAGTAAACTATAAACAAGGGATTACTTATTTTTTAACATGTATGCATACAATATTCATATTAGACATATACTATTTTTCTTATAAAAAATTGTTTTAATATTTTCCTTGTACGAAAATACAAATGTTACGAATCTTGAATAGCAATACCAATACAAAATTCAGTAATACAATATGATTGTGTCATTACATCAATGGCGTGTTGCCGTAGTTGAATAAACCTAAGTACAAAGCTAGAGTCTATGCTTAATAACTTATTAAGTTATTGGGAGATTATTGACTAAGTGTATTTTATATATGTGTTAAGTACCTCAAAATCACATTACAATTTCTCAGCTGAATTAATTATCTTACAATCCCTGGAAGTTTTAGGGTTCCGACATAAGTGATTTAATTACTAAATCAGCTCTGCCGGGAGCACTATGAAACGCTATATCTGTTATACATATAATATATCATACGCATTTAGTGGTTCACGAGTAGAATCCCGCTATCCCAGTGCTTCTGCGATCGAATAATTTCTACCAAAGGGAATTGCACGATTTCTCCAAATTGAGTATTCGCTGCTGTCAAATGCCATTGGGGGTATGCCGTGCAGGTAAAACGTCGTGTAATTGGACTCTCCCTGTTATTTTTCTCTTTTTGTAGGACCCATAAAAGGGACTTTCAAACCCATGATGGTTCGGAATACGGAAGAAAGCTCCGCTCAATAAACGAATGGTCTATACCTTTATCCATAATATCTTTAGAAATACATCGTTGGATTTTTTCTACTTCTTTTTATCTCACAACTATACTTCGTAATCACCGCGTTATTTATTTGATTTGGTTCGACTCGATACCTGCCATTAACCCTTAGGGCACGAAGGAAAGTGCACGGGTCCATTTACTATAGTAAATCTGGTATAACGAAACGATACCTTTAACGACGATAACCTCTCTGCTGTTCTTGTTTTATTCGCGAGTGTCCCAAAAGTTGCTTGCCTGAATCTAGGTCAACGAGTTATATACTAATAATGTTATTTCGCAAACTGAATCTTACCCTTCAACACTATGAACCATAAAGGACGAGTAGCAGAATTAAAGTTTTGAGAGAGAACTGATTCGTATTTCTAATCAAAACTCAGTTACAACCAATTAAGAAATATGACGACGCTCACTGCTCATTTTTCACGACATACAGAAGTCTGTGATAAATTTAAACCATAGTTTTTCAATCAATACACTGTGTATTGCTGCAGTTACAATATTCAATAATTATCTTTTTAAAATCCTTAATGGCCGTTTCACGAACTATACCTTAAATGTAAGAGTGGTTAATAGTAAAACTAAAGGTTTAATTTTATCTAAATTGTATCTATAGTTGATGCAATAGTGATATTAAACTTGTTAACTTTGAAAACAAATCATTGAACTTTTCAACCTTTAACTTTCCATAATATGAACTAGAAATAATTTCTGATGAATTGAGAGACTTATATACGAAATAACTCACAAGTTATCTAACGTGCTTACAAATTAATTGCATAAATGTAATTCTTCCTTGTATAGTAAAGGTTTCCTTAATGTAATAATAAATATTTTCTTATACTACATTTTTTCGACTATCAGTTATGCCTTCTAGAAAAAAATAATTTTGCAAGAACGTAGTTGTTGCAACTTGCAACCAGTATAAGTTAAACGTTTAAATGTAAACAAAGTTTACTTTTTTTACCTTATCTCGGATTTCTTGTCTCATTTTTTCTCGTTCTTCTTCCATCTTGCGGTGCTTCTCTTTACGTCTTTCCTCGGCCTCTCTGATCGCCTCCAACCTTTCTCTTTCTGCTTCTGCGTTTTTCTCTTTGTCTTCAGCTGACTCGCCGCCATCACCAACTGCGCCTGAAGAATAAAGTATCATTGTAAATATTATGCATCAAGATAAAACCAAACATATTTTTATATTATACCATAGTAATTATACCTAGAAACAGCAAGAAGATATAAAAATTAATACATTTTATAGAAATTGTTTTATTCTTAATTATTTTAAACTTTCTATTTAAGTTTCAATAGAAGTATGCGTAATATATTTAGATGAAATAAGTAAGTCAGATATGTTTTAAGTTTAGTGTAACTCAAAGCTCAAGAGTATTTAGTAATAACGAGGAAACCTGTGTTTAAACACATTGAACATAACAATATGTTTAGTGTGCTCAATTATTTGAATGACGTTACCGCACATTAATTAGCATACAATTACAATTAAATTAACACAGCTATATATATTATCAAATAAAAAAAAATAAAAAATAAAATATATATATATATATATATAGATACTATAGACAACTATTGTATGCAATAAATTCGAATAAACTAAGCTTTAACATCTACTCAACATACATTTTTATATTTGTAATTAAAATGAGTTTATATTATTCCTACTGAGCTCTTAAACATTGCCAAAGTATGTTCAAGAAATTAAAAGTACCTAGGAGAACATTTTACCTCTTATTATTAAAGAGGTGGATAAAGACAATTATTGTCTGATAATTCTAAATTTAAAACTATAATTATTAAGTAGGTATATTTATTAGTACAAAAGTAGGATTCTTTATAACTATTAATTTGATAAGACTATCACAGCATCCTTGACAACATTTTTATAGTAAGTATCTAATTTAATTTATTATTTAGACTAGTTACGCAAAATGCCTATTATTTGGTCCTGTTAACTTCAAAATAAAATCTATTAAGAAATTTAAATATAATATAATTTTGGAGAGAATATCATACCCGTTTTCTAATATAGTATTTAGTATTTAGTTTAATGTTTATGTTGAAAAAAGGCATTTTTTAATTTTTAAATGAGTTATATACATGTTTTCTACGTTTTATGCCTAAACTCGGATACGATATCTCTTTCAAAAAGTCATCGTATTTTGTATTCATTGAGATATTTTTAACACGTTTTTAACTTATCTATAAAATGTTATTGTAAGGAATTATTGACATCGTATTTTTCTGTATAAATTCATTTGTTAATGTTATCAAATAACGTACAAAGCAGCATTATTATAGTCGATTGCCTATCATCAGAAAGGGTAATATAAGGTTAACGGTCTAATGCAAGTGACGAAATCCAATTTTATGAACCGGAAATGATTGCTTTAATATGCCGGGAAAAAGCAATGGTGGATCGTCACTTTAATAGCGTAGCTTGGGCTCATTGATTTAAACGTCACGCGCTTCTGTTGTGTTAAATATATTATGTGCTTTATAGGCTCTTTTTATACTTTGAAGACAAAGAACGCCGGCTTTAATAGAAAAATAGAAAAATATGTAGATCTACATGACGAACGTTTGGATTTTCGAAATTTGATATGTGCGCCAAAGAAAACACAATCCGATCGACTCGAAAATTGTAGTTTAAATAAAGAACATATTATTCCACAAAACTAAATTAATTATATTATAGTATGTGGAAAGTGTCACACGCCATTGAACCATAATAAATCAATAGTTATAAGTTATAACAATTAAACAAAATATAATAAAATTTATCTAACAAATGATTTATTCACCAGAAAGTCTTTTGTTATTATATTAATCTTACGATGTTATGCTGCAGTAAGCAAAGTGGTTAAATCATTTGGAATTGATGGTTATTGATGTGATCTTGTGACATGTTGTAATTTAATAAGAATACAACGGGAAACTTTTGCATATCAAACAGTTGACACGACTCATTTTCTTCAGGAAAACTTTATGCAATAGATAACAACTAGAACCATGATGTTATTTTAAGGGTTCTTTTCACAAGAGCACATCACCGAAAGGGTGGTTATCTTTTGGTTCAGTTGTATGAATTTTAAACCATAAAGTATCATAACTATTTTATTTATATTGATACATGCATTACAACAATTAAACGCTGATTCTCGCATAGTTTAGACTTTAGAGACCGACGATTGATTTTTCCGACACATAAAAATGTAAAGCAATAGAATAGTTGATAATAATATAAAATAGAAAAGTAGTTACCGAAAGTATTGTTTTTTTACATTACATATAAACCTAACCAAATGTTGTGGCTTGTTAAATATGCTTGATCTATGCAGTAGCCACGATAAAAGGCACATTAGATGATTATTTTTTGAGACCACAGCACATACCATTGACGCAGTAAATACAAATATGTATTCATTTATCCAGAATTCGTTGTATATTAAAAAATAAAAATGATCAATATTAGGTCACATTCCTTAAAACGCGCTGCGTTTATTATTTTTTCTTAAGTCACAAATATCATTTGAAATCAGCATACAATGGCAAAAGGTTTCGAATGATTGAAACAAAAATGTAATATTATTGTAATATGCGACCGCTAATGTTTAACGGTGAACATTTTAGTAAAATAATCATTACCAATGACATTTCAAATTTTTACGGTTAATACTTAATATTTTTACTAAAACCCGTTAAAATAATAATTAACATATTGACGCTCTATAGGATAAGTTTTAGCATGAATTTGTTGTATTTAGTATTTTAGCGTTGATGAATTATTAAAGGTAAAAGCTGATAAATACAACGTAACAGATATAGAATAATGTTTGTGGGTACTTTTGAGTGTCAATAATGTGTGCTGAAACGGGAAGGGGTAGAAGCAAATCGTCCAAACATCATTCGCGTCACAGACAGAGACTATACATAATACATATATACTGCATTATATAAACGTTTGTAAAATACAGGTTGAAGTTGCGAGTGGTAGACAGCTAATAATAATCTTATTGATTGATGTTTTCCAGCTATTCTATATTTTCCAACGTGTATTTACATATAGCACCGGCACGACTCTTGCATAAAATATATATTATTATAACGGTGGATTGAATCCCTGATTAAACACAACTTGTGTTTGTGATCCGCTTGTGCAACCAAAGCTCTTGCGGGTACCACAATGAACGTAGCTATGTACAGCTATTCAATTATAATAATAGGTAAGCACTAGTGATTGTTTGGCACTACACTTCCAGTAAATTATTATTTTCACAGAGCTATTTAGCGTATTAAGACCATAATATACCTTTTTACGCTTTATTAGCCTTAAATTGCCTCAATAATAATATCCCAGTCGTAATATTTATGTAAAATTTAAATAAAAGGTTGAAACGTGGTGTTCTATATTAGGTGTAGGACGTAGGTACATATAGTATGTACCGGTGGTAAAGCTTTCGTGTCACCAATATAAGCTCATAAAATTGCACATGAAAAATTAAAAATTCTATAAAACAACAGTGGCACGACGGTGGGAGTAGAATATAATATTATGTAAACGGAAGTAAAGAGCTCGTAAAACAATACAAGCTGCCGTGCACTATTAATATTAATATTACATGCGTATAATACACGTGGTTTTACATCAGTGTAAAGGCATATAATACACATACTTACGCAGGACGTGGTATTAAAAGTCTAAACGAGGTGTATGAATGAAAAACACACACACGGTTCTCCCGAAGCTAATGAATGCTTTTTGGTACTGAGAATGTCCCTTTTAAACTGTGCCATTACTTAGCAAGGCGTCATGCTACCATGTGCGCGTATTACACACTCAACTTTTTTTAATTATCCCCAAAGATATTAAACATATACATAGCTGTAGCTATAAACTATAGCATACTGGTACATATGTAGGTAGTTATGGACTAATGGAGACTTAACGTACATTATTACAATTATACTAGTATCCAGTGTGCCGGTAATTGCGCAAAATATCTTAATAAGTAAGAGCGGAAAAATAATAACCGCATAATAGAAAATTAAAAGTTTACAAACAGTGATTATGTTAGTAAATATTTTTGGCCAAGTCTGTTGTTCAAAAGTATGGTTTGTATAAAAGGAATGGAACAAAATTTGTTTGTTTAGTAGTGTTGGATGTTACGAAATATAGGTCATAAAATGTTAAGGTACTAACCACACATACACTTAAACTGCACATCAATGAATAGGTAGGGGGGGCGTGCGTTCATTTTGTGTGTCACTTTACGGTTTATCTAACTACTTTTTAAGCTTTATAAATAATTTTTACACTCATCATTACCGTTGTTTTTAGCCAGTGGATACATCTAACCATTACTGAATAGAAAAAAAATGTATATAAATAATATTAGGAATAATATGCATATTCTTAGTATCACTTTATAGCTAACCAACGTTGTCAGCATGTAATGAAATTGATAATTACGAAACCATAAATTATTTAAATTTAAATTTTCCGAATAATTGTAGCAACAAATATTTATACAAATGTATTACTGAATTGAAAACAACATTAGAATTTAGTTTCCTTGATTGGAATTCCACACTAAAAAACAATAAATGAATAGGTAAACGTACGCTTTATGTAAATATTGTATTTGTTTCCGGTGATGTTAACAAAATTGAATTAAAATATTTCTTAAATTATAAATTATTTGTTAGTATGAAGTTTCCTTGTATAGGTATGAAACATTTTTTAAAATATATTATCATAATTTCATTTAGCACTATTGTTTAGACACCTTTTTTAGTATTTTTTTACACTGTACTTACTGATTATCAAGTTTTTGGCACAACAATTGTTAAACGCGCACGTTCGTCGGGTGACACGATCAAACTAAAGAATGCCGACGGGCGTCTAAGCTATTTATACGATTTTCTCTCATACCCCACCAAACCATTATTTTGTTTTCCCCCGCCTCGACTAGTAATCAGCTGTTTTCCAGTAAACAGTACCGTTGTTTCGGCATGCGTACAAATCTATAATTAATACTATTGTGTAGGTTAAACAAGGTAAAAAAACAAGATTGTCACTTTCTTACATATTGAGAACTATCTCAATGAGAATGTAG